AAGGTGTTGTTTCTGCAATGAAAATTGAGATTTAACACTAGTTCAATAAGTGCTAAACAAAGGAAGTACACTCACAAGAGTAGAGGTGCACCTATGTGGTTTTAGTAATTGATTTCATGTAATTTCACTGAAGAAATGAACTTGTAGCTAATTTCATAACCATGAGAATAGGCATAGATTAGTTATGAGTATAATTGATTCACTACGAAAGTAGGTTTCATATGCATGAGGAAATTACACCATAACTAGCCTAGATAGTAGTATTCAATGATCCAAATATAGCACTTGCATGAATAGTTAGGGATACCACAACCTAAGGAGCTTTCATTTGTTATTTTCTTACATAAGTTCAGTAGGTTTTACTTGTTATAATTCATTGATAGTCTTAATAATAGAGAAGCTTTAGTAGTGCCGGTAATTGCAATCTTCGTTGTGGGATCGACCCTTAATACCCTATACTCGCTCACGATTCGTATAGTTGCGATAAATCGCGTGTGGGGTATTTAGAAGTTTATAAATGTAAAATTTGACTAGAATGAGCTTAATGTTATATGTATACCCCACGCACGTCAATACTTGCAGTCAACGGGTATAAATTAGAATTAAACTTGCACATATAACAAAAAACCTGTCAGTTGTTTCTGTTTGTGTATCTATTATGCACTCCACTTTTCATATTCCGTAATGGATCCATCAGGAACTGTTGGCATACCTATAAGGACAGAAAAACCCATCTAATTATTTCACTTTGCACCTTGCAACTATACTTAAATTCCTACATTGCTCCATAAATTTTAGAATGGGACGTTTTTGTCCCTAAAATATAAAATCAATCCCACTTAACTAAGATTGTTGGTGGAAGAGGGACAAAGTCTATATTTTAGGAACTAGGATGAGAGAAATTTTGTATTTTGAAACTAAAGTGGGACAGATATTATATTATAGAGACTTAAATGGGATAAATTTTATATTTCAGAAACTAAGGTATCCCACTTTTTGACCCCATGCAAAAGCAAAAGAGAAAACCTAAGGCACAAGGCATTCTTGGGCCAAAAAAAAAAAAAAAAGCAGCCATGGATCTTATAAACTCAGAGTATTTGGAGGCTACAGAAGAGTTGCCACCCCCTAGAGGATTGTCAAGACATTATGGTGGAAAATCCAAGTCTTTCCACGACTTGTCCAACGTCAAGAGTGTTAGAGATCTGCGAAAAAATGAGCATATAATCAATAAAAAAAGGCATCTGGAGCGGAAACTGCACAATATGAATAAGAAAAGGAGATTCACCACGACCACTTCGAATATGCATGAAGGAGAAGAAATGGAAGATTTTATGGACCCTCCAATATATCAAGCCAGTTACGTGAAAAGAAGTTTTCCCTTGAGGATCTTTAGTAATTGGAAATGAGTTTTTCCATGATGATGTTTAGTAGTACCGCTTAAAATGTGTTAAATTTATTATCATCCATTATTTTGATAGCAATAAATTATTATTTTCCTTAAAAAAAAAGGTATCCCACTTTTAAAGTTTAAGAATCAAAACAGGAGTTCAGGTATAGTTAGAGATTGCAAAATGAAATTTATCACATGGTTAAAATTTAAAATTTAAGAAGAATACAATTTCTAAAGAGTACGTACTCCACTTTAGTGTCTAGAAATTGAATAACAAGTACTTCATTTATTAAAACAACACTCGAAGACAAAGTCTGTAATAACATAATTAATATTGCAAGTATAGTAAATCGAGAGCTCAATAAACAAGTAAAGTTAATGAACAGTTCCTTTGAAGACATCCAATGCCATACATGATTAAAATTTTTAGAACTGCTTTTTTTGTCCCCCAAAGGGAGACTTTAATTCTTATGAGGGAAAAGGAGATCGGTATATGAATGAAAGACTCTATCAAAGATATTCAATGATGGTATTATCATCTAAAATTAGAGCTAATCACTTTTTTGGTCAAGGGAGAACCAAGTCTTGCAAGGGATAAAGGGAAGAGGGGAGAGTCTGAGACTCAAATCACAAACTAAACGAAAATCATCGACAAATGCAACAGTCCAAATCTTTGTTAATTATTGAAGCTCCCCTCTTCAAGATCACCTACATTTGATTCTTCTTCAGAGCTTTCCTCAACTGTTAGAGGACAATTAGGTGCATCTTCAGCAAATTGTAACTCCACAACTCGCTCAGCTGGCATTTGAATCTCCGGGTTTTCATGTGGAGGAAGAGGAGGGGGTGCTGGTACCTGGAACTCAAAAATTTGATGGAACCCTCTATAGCACCCACAGGCACCGTAGATGAGAGCTTCAGGTGTTCCAACCTCTCCAGCAGCAATAAATTCCTGGCAACCATCAAAAGCAAACCTGTTTAAATGTGCAGCATGATTGTAAAAGCATTGCATATATCTCACAAAAATCACAGATCCATCACGAATGGGAAGGTTGTTTGCTGCCATTAGAATATGAATAACACCACTCTATCAAACACAGTTGATTAGCTAATCAGGTGATTATATATATAAGGGTGTAACAGTGTCAAACATAGCTTAACCTTGCATATTCAAGAAAACAAAGAAAAGGTGATTTTGGTAAAACACAATGTTGGAATATTTATTTGGCTCACTAGGTAAAAGCATCCAAAAATATTTGTTGCTCTCATATTAAACGTGTTGCATTCCTGCCACGAAGTGATAACTAAAACTAAATTAGATTATGTGAATATAAATCTTTTGTGGATAGGTTTCATATTCATGACTCAGCATTTGAATTTAAATTTCTTTTACCCTCTAAGATCAAGATATAATAAAAGTGTCATTGTTATTCAAGGCCTTTGCTAATAACTGGTATTGGGTAACCATACAGCAAACGCTAAATTTTTTTTAAATTACTTCTTTTAAAAAATCTAAAATTTTGTGCAAGAAAAGTTATTCAAAATTTACTAGTCTATCATGGCATTTATTAAGGATTACAAATATATGACATGTGTTCTTATATTTGAATGCATTATAAATTATTTAACAAAACTAGTCTTTCTTTCCTTTGGATCTACCAACATTTGTCTGATTAAAAAGATACAAAGACAGATCTGAAGATTTAGTTTGAAAATTTACAATTAAAAAGCACATTTTTTTTAAGGTAAGCCTAAAAAAGACAATAGGAAACCTGAATATGTGAAAAGGGGAAAAACAGAAAATAGGAAATAGTATTTAGACGAAAGATAACCTTAAAGAAATCAATATAAAGTTTGATATTATGTTGATTTACATCAGTTAAAGATATTATCAAGTCTGTAGATCTTAATTGAGCTAGTGAAATGAATAAGTAATATTTCAAGATTTTGTCAAACATGGTAAACATCTAGGCCAAAAATAATTTATAACAAGGAACAAAGAAGTTAGTTCCATAAGCTTACATAGTGAATTTATACATTCATTTGATGCATATATGGAATTAGCTTACGTATTCCTGAGTAAAATAATTTCTGAGTAAAATAATTTTGAAAACACCTCTCAGTATACAAAGTGATGTGTTATTTTTTACCTTCTTTGATTTGTTGGGAACATTGTTACTAAGATAATAGGCATGCATTAGGGAATGTATAAAATGAAATATAATACGTACTTGTACCATACAAAATGTTTTTGTTCAAAAGTACAATTAAAAGTTGAATGTAAAATATGAGTTTGGTAAAATCACATATATAAATTCATACGTGAAGAGTAGGAGTATATCTAAATGTTATGAAATTAAAAGCACGGGTAAAATTACTACAATTTTTAAGAGTTATACTACATTAAACCACTTTTAATTCTTATTCTTGTGTATCGGAATTAAAGTTATTAAAACTTTGTCACTTTATTATGTTCATATGTAGAAATACATAGTAATTATCAATAGAAGATATGTCACTATTGTTACAAAAATTTGAAAATTTTCTCAAAATTTAAAGTATAGTTCGGAAAGCATGATATATTTAAAAATTTATTACGCAGTTTATAAATTTATGTTAAAAGCATGAGTAGTTTATAGAACATTTCTTTTTTTTTTTTAGTTTTTAGAATGTTTTTGAAATGTATAATATACGAAACCTATTTCGAATTGTACAAAGGGGTTGCATTATATAGTTACTTCTTAATTAGTTTGGGAACTGTGAAGAGCAAGGAATGAGGCTGGAAGGACAGTGAGCACGGATGCACAAATTTGTCATAAAGTTTCAATGCTTTTGCCCTCAATTTCTATAGCTAACACCTTTACAAAAATTTAAAACTCAAGATAATCAACATCTGCACAAGGGTTTGGTCTCGAGACTAAGGGCCTATAGACAAAAGTCTAGATTGCTAATAGTAGAAATTCCCCCCATTCTATACTGCAGTTGAATGTGGATTAACCTCTCCTGGAAAGTCCCTGATTATCAGGAGATGGCAATGGCCACTTGCTTGATTGCATTCTCCTTCTTCTATGGCTATGGCACATATGTGGAGGTCAAAGTTGAGGCTTTGCTTGAAGGTGTTCAATTATGCATTTCCCATGGTTTCCAAGTGGTCAACTCGACTCTACCCATTTGATTCTTCAAGATCACCTACGTTGGATCTTTTTCAGAGCTTTCCTCAACTGGTGGGGGACTATTAGGTGCATCTTCAGCAAATTGCAACTCCACAACTGGCTCAGCTGGGATTTGAATCTCAGGGTTTTCATGTGGTAGAAGAGGGGCGGGTATTGGTACCTAGAACTCAAAATTTTGACGGAACCTTCTATGGCACCAACAGGCAGCGCAAATGAGAGCTTCAGGTGTTCCAACCTCTCCAGCAGCGATAAATTCCTGGCAACCATCAACAACAAACATTTTTAAATGTGCAGCATGATTGTAAAAGCATTGCATATACATCACAAAAATCACAGATCCATCACGAATGGGAAGATTGTTTGCTGCCATTAGAATATGAATAACAACACTCTATCAAACACAGTTGATTAGCTGTGATTATATATATAAGGGTGTAACAATGTCAATTGGGGAGGCCACTGCAGCGCCTCCTGTCACCTTGCCTCAGCGAGACGCGGTGATTCCCCATGGGCAGGGCCAAACTCAAGGGATTTCGCAGACGGGGACCCAAGCGAATGCGGTGATGCATGAAGACAGGGAAGCTGTGGCGCTTGAACTTCCTGCCCCGGAAAGACAGCCGGGGCCTCCTCATGAGGTGGAGGAGCAAAGTCGAGCTGCGCATTGCCCACAGGCAGACCCGGCTCCTACGCCAATTCAGGAGTTGGTAATAGAGCTGGAGGGAGAAGGGAGCGGCCTGGGCAATCGTTTTGAAGTCCTTAGTACGCTAGGGGAAAGCTGTGGGGTGGCTGGGACATTAGAGGCTGTCCGTGCTTCCTCATCTCCAACGTCCTCCCAAGGAGAGGCACACGTGTCATTAGAGGAGCTTCAACTTTTTAACCAGGAGAACGCCACCCAAGCGGAGCTTCCTGCTAGTTTTGGAAAAGAGGCCAAACAGGACCCGAAGGATACCCAAGGTGCGGACATCAAGAGGAAGGTGGGCAGACCTAAGGGCAAACGCACGCAAGTGTCAGATCCGTCTCAAGCTAAGTACCCCCTCCGTTCCCATGATAAATCCAATTAATTTCATTGTTTGGAATATACGGGGCGCCTCGCGCTCTGACTCTATTAAGTATTTACATAAACTTTGCATGAGACATAATATTTCCTTGGTTTTTCTTCTGGAGCCCATGTCTGAGGTTAAGCATTTAGACGTGGTCCATAGAAGGCTAAAGCTAGACCACGGGAACTCGTTCTTAAACGGTAAGGTGTGGTGTTTATGGAGCGGGACTCTCAAGCTCTCTTTTCAGGAGGGTGAAGATCAAGTTGTGCATGGTGGACTCACGTTCCAGTCTAGCGAGACTATTTCTGTTTCGGCGGTCTATGCAAAGTGCACTAGAGTGGGGAGACGGCTCCTCTGGAGCTGCTTGGAGGGCTTCAGTAGGGGGAGGAGTGAGCCGTGGATCATAGCGGGGGATTTTAATGTGATCGCGTCCTCGGAAGAGTGGAGAGGGGGCCGTCCAGCTAATGGCACTAACATGGACGAGTTCAATTCATCCATGTTCACGTGCGGACTCTCCCCAGTTGACTTTGATGGGTGTCCCTTCACCTGGACGAATGGCAAGATTTGGCAGCGTTTGGACAAGGCTCTCATTAATGCCCGATGGGCGGCGGCATATCCAGTCACAAGAGTCTCTCACCTTCCCCGGGGTCGGTCTAATCATGCGCCTCTCTTGATCAAAGCGGGGACGGGATCGCCAGTTTCGCCCTCTTTCAGGTATCTAAACGTGTGGCATCGGCACCACACCTTCTGGGAAACGGTGTCAACAGTCTGGCAAGGGTCGGGCTCAGGTGTCGGGATGCAACTGTTCTACTCCAAGATGTCGTCCCTTCGAACTCAGCTGAGGAAGTGGAACAAGGAGGAATTCGGGAATATCTTTGCTCGAGGTCAGTCAGCAGAGGTTACATACAAACAACGGGAAGCAGAGTTCGACTCAACAGGCGACGTTTCCGCGATGACCCGTTTACATGAGGCAAGGGCCATGTACCTAAGAGAATTGTCAGTGGAATGTGAGTTCTGGAGGCAAAAGGCAGCGATGCGGTGGATCAAGGAGGGGGATGCGAACACATCCTTCTTCCACTCAGTGGTCCAACAGAGAAGAAACTCCAACTATGTCGCACGGGTTAAAGATGAAGCTCTGGGCTGGATCCAGGACACGGGCGACATTCAAGCTTCAGCAGTGCGGTTTTTCTCGGCATTATTCCAATCCAGTGGGTACGTCCCTCCTCCCACTCTGCCCCAAGAGTTGCCTAGAGTTTCGGCGGAAGAGGACGCGGGGTTACGGCATTTACCGGATCTGGAAGAGATCCGAGCAGTGGTGTTCGCTATGGATGCAAATAGCGCTCCGGGGCCAGACGGGTTTGGGGCGGGTTTCTATCAACAGTGCTGGGAGATCATCAAAACAGATCTACTTGGGGCAGTGCAGGATTTTTTTAAGGGAGTGCAGCAACCCAGGGGCTTCTCTAGCGCGTTACTGGTATTGATCCCAAAGACGGAGGGGGCCTGTCAGTGGAAGGACTTCAGACCAATTAGCCTTTGTAACACGAGTTCCAAGATCATATCGAAGAATCTGGAAAATCGATTGGGGAGTCTGCTACCCAAGCTCATTTCGCCGTGGTAGACAGGGTTTGTTCCAGGAAGGGGCATTATGGATAATATCTTGCTGGCTCAGGAGCTAGTGTTGGAGTTAGATAGGAAACTGACCCACCCAAATTTGGTGCTCAAACTTGATATGGAGAAAGCGTATGATAGAGTGGAATGGCCTTTCCTTCTGTTTATGCTTAGGAGCTTTGGATTTTCAGAGGTCACAGTAGATCTCCTCTTCAGAACCCTCTCCAACTCGTGGTTTTCAATTCTGGTCAATGGCCAACCCACTGGCTTTTTCAAGTCTAGCAGGGGAGTGCGACAGGGGGATCCGTTGTCACCTGCGCTCTTTTTGTTTGTAGCGGAGTTCCTTGGGCGGGGCCTCCAGCAGCTTGGACTTAACCATAAGGACAGATGTTTTGTGTCTGCCAGTGCCACGGTGCCCTACCTGGCTTTTGCCGATGACACAATCATCTTCACTCGGTGCTCGGAACCATCCCTGACAACTCTGCATGAGTTTCTCCTGCTATATCAAAAACATTCCGAGCAGAAGGTAAATGCGGGGAAGAGCACTCTCCTTATGCCCGCTCGCATGTCGGAGGAGCATATTAGGTTGGTGGAGACAACCTTGGGCTTTCATAGACAGTCTTTTCCAATTAAATATCTAGGGGTTCCCCTGGTCCGTGGAAGAATGGGCACCACAGTCTTCGATCCCCTACTAGAGAAGTTACGGGCACGCCTATTCCATTGGAGCTCTAAACTTCTGAGTACGGGGGGCAAGATTGTCCTCATTCGGCACGTGCTCGGCTCGATTCCTTTGTATCTGCTTCAGGCAATCTACCCTCCCAAAACCGTGGTGGTAGCCCTAGGCAGGATTTGCAACTCCTTTCTCTGGGATTCTAGTGTTGATTCGAAGAGGCTGCACTGGGCGGCGTGGGAGAAGCTATGCTTTCCGGTTCAAGAAGGGGGTCTAGGGTTTCACTCCTTTTTTGATTCGGCAAAGGCCTTCGCCTGTAAGTCATGGTGGCAGTTACGAAAAAATGATTCGATATGGGCTGGCTATATGCACAGTAAGTACATTAAGAACTCTCACCCGTCAATCGCTGTAGTGGATCACCCCCCGGCATCATGACGACGTTTGTTAGCAATTCATGATTTTACGGAGAGGCAGATTCGCTGGTGCCTAGGGAAGGGACTAGTTGACTTCTGGCATGATACCTGGTGTGGTGATCTGCCTCTAGCGCTAGTGGTGGGGTCGCCAATCCTCCTCATGCCCTGGTTGCAGAGTTCTTCATAGCTCATGGCTGGAACGCTTCTCGGCTTAAGGAGTGGGTGCCCGACTTTGTGGTGCAGCGGATCACTAACATCCGTTTCTTCCCTGAACAGGACGATGCCATGGTTTGGGTACCATCACACAATGGGGATTTCTCTGTGGCCTCCGCGTGGGAGGACATCCGCCAAAGACATCATACATCGTGGATTGATCGCTATGTCTGGGGACCGATTGTGCCCCTACGAGTGTCTTTTTTTGCATGGCGTGTAGTGCGCCGCTGGATACCCCTTGACAGTGTGCTGCAGAGCAAGGGGGTCGCTTTATGTTCTAGGTGTAGCTATTGCCGCCAGGCTCAAGAGACTGTCAGTCACTTGTTCCTGAATGGCACTGTGGCTAGGACGGTGTGGGACCACTTTCTCAAAATGTTTGGTCTTCTTCCGTTTAACGCGGCCAGCATGTCTGCTATGTTATCCCACTGGTTCTTCTCTCACTCCAAAGTGTCACCAACACATGTGCGGGTCCTGGTCCCTTTGTTGGTTCTCTGGTTCATTTGGAAGAGTAGAAACTCAACAAGATTTGAAGCTGCTTTGTTCTCTCCGACCCAGGTGATCTTCCGGGTTGAGGAGTTTTTGGATCAGATGGGTAAGTCTCAGTCATTCTCCATGACCTCCTTTGCAGGTGATTGGGACTGTCCATGGGCAAGGTTTGGAGGCCCCTGTAGGCGGGATAAAGGTGTTGTCCCTGTTACTTGGGAAAAGCCACCGCCGGGTTGGCTCAAGCTTAACACTGATGCCAGTGTCCTACACGGCAGGGCAGCTGGGGGAGGGGTCCTGCGGGACCACTGTGGTAAGGTGTGCTTCGCCTATTATAAGGAGTTCGGAGTGTTAGACGTGTTGGAGGCGGAGGCGCGGTCACTCCTGCATGGCCTCCAGCTATGTGCAGATCGCAAGGTACGGGCGCTGACTGTAGAATCAGATTCAAAGGTGCTTGTTCAGCTAGTTTGCTCGGATATGAGGTCGAAGTGGCCGGTGTGTATCGTACTGCGGGAAATCAGACATTTGATCCAGCGGATGGGTGCACCTCTTCACCATATATTCCGTGAGGCCAATTCGGTGGCGGACGCATTGGCTTCTCTGCAATTGGGAGGGCAGCAGTACTACATCTCAGGCGCAGCTCTACCTATTAGGCCCAGAGGAGAGGCTCTTCTGGATCGTCATGGAGTACCTCGGATCCGTGAGGTGCTCACTAAGGCTTGATTGTTTATGTCCTCCCTTCATAGATCATATTTCATATACTCCTTGTAATCATTCTTTTTCTTTTCAATAAAATGAGACAAGTTAATTGAAAAAAAAATGTCAAACATAGCTTAACCTTGCATATTCAAGAAAACAAAGAAGAGATGATTTTGGTAAAACACGATGTTGCAACATTTATTTGGCTAACTAGGCATAACCATCCGAAAAAATTTATTACTCTCATATTAAACATGTCGCATTCCTGCCATGAAGTGATAACTAAAACTAAATGAGATTATGTGAATATAAATCTTTAATGGATTGGTTTCATATTCATGACTCAGCATTTGAATTTAAATTTCTTTTACCCTATAAGATCAAGGTATAATAAAAGTGTCATTGTTATTCAAGGCCTATGCTAAAAACTGGTGTTGAGTAACTATATAGCAAACACTAAAGATTTTTTAAAATTATTGTTTACGAAAAATATGAACTTTTGCGCAAGAAAGGCATTTATTAAGGTTTACAAATCTATGACATGTGTTCTTATACTTCAATGCATTATAAATTATTTAACAAAACTAGTCTTTCTTTCCTTTCATGGAACTACGAGCATTTGTCTAATTTAAAAGATACAAAGACAGATCTGAAGCTTTAGTTTGAAAATTGACAATTCAAAAGCGCATTTTTCTTAAGACAAGCCTAAAATACGACAATAGGAAACCTGAATATGTGAAAAAGGGGAAAATTAAGCAAGAAAATAAGAAATTGTAAATCAAAATTAGTATTTAGACAAAAGATAACCATAAGGAAATCAATATAAAGTTTGATATTATGTTGATCTACAACATTAAAAAGATATTATCAAGTCTATAGATTCTAATTGAAATAGTGAAATGAACAAGTAATTTTTCAAGATTTTGTCAGACATTGTAAACATGCAAACCAAAAGTAATTTATAAAAAGGAGCAAAGTTAGTTCCATAAACTTAAAACGGTGAAGTTAGACGTTCATTTGACGCGTATATGGACATTAGCTTTCGTTTTCCCAAGTAAAAAGAAATTTGGAAACGCCTCTCAGCATACAAAGTGCTGTTTTGTATTTTACCTTCTTTGATTTGTTGGGAACATAGTTACTAAGATATCGGGCATGTATAAAATGAAATATAATACGAACTTGTATCGTACAAAATTGTTTTGTTCAAAAGTACAATTAAAAGTTCAATGTGAAAATATGAGTTTGGTAAAATCACATACATAAAATCATACGTGAATAGTAGGAATATAGCTAAAAGTAATGAAATTAAAAGTACAGGTAAAATTACTACAATTTTTAAGAATTATACTACATTGAACCACTTTTAATTCTTATTCTTGTGTATCAGAAATTAAATTTATTAAAACTTTATCACTTTATTATGTTCATATGTGGAAATCTATTGTTATTATGTGACGACCCTCCCTCCCCCTAAGGCGAACCAAAGAGATTGGCGGGCCGCCTTCCTAACTCTCATCAGAATTCAATCACTAACTTACTCACAAAACTTGGTTACAAGTGCAACCACCTCAAAAGCAAGAATCACATTTCCAAGTGACATTAACAAGAACCATTCTTCAACAAATACATTAGATAGTGATCACTTCAATCTTAAGATATATCACTAGCTCAAAATTACAAAAGTCGAGTTTTCAAACTTACAAGTCATAAACAAAACTAGAGAGCTGATATTATTACACAAAAGCAAAAGATTTAGACAAACTCGGCGCTTCGCAATCAATTGCCCAAATTCCTGCCCCCCCAAATTCCTGCCCCCTAACAAACTAAAAGGGTCAATTTTCGCTCAATGAGGTTTCAAGAAGGTCATGCAATCAATAATATAATACACAAGCCACAAAGAATGTACCACCATCAGATAGAGCAATTACACTTCAATTAAGCAGTAACACATTCATTTAAAAGGATACGGGCCTCTCATGAATTTGTTCAAGTAGCTTAATCAAAATTCAATATTTCCGTAGACATCCCGTTAACTTTATTCCATAATATTATCAACTAATTTACTGTTTCACATCATTCTCCAATTACCGTTCAACCCCCTACCGGACCCGCACGTCAAATTCAAGAAGGGTAATAGTCGATTATATTGGTTCCATAATCAAGTTCAAGAACTCAAGCACAGGTTCCAATTCAAATTCAAGTGACAAGACCCATGATTCATAAATCTCATCAATCAAACCCTTGCTGGTTCAACTCAACCAACTAGCCAATGGAGTTTGGTGCTCCAAGCACGCAATGGAGTCGAATGGATAACAACCCAAATGACCATCAAGTCAAGAACAAGTAAAGCAATTCATTTAATACAAATATCAAGAATCTAACCATGAAGGGTCCTATATGATAAGGTACATCCTTGCACAGACAATATCAATTCAACGGCAAGTATCTCAACCAAGCAAACATATCATTCAAGCAAGGAAATATGGCACATAAACACTTCACAAGCACTTAGAACACTCACACTTAAAGTAA